CTTTCGCGAATCGACAATGTCTCGATTAGAAAACAGCAAGGGTTCATGATGCCGCTTCTTAGCCTCGGCTAAGGCGGCATTAAGAAAGCGAATAACATCGCGCGGCCGCAAGAACGTGCGTGCGATAATATGGTCCCACTTCGACTGAGAGCCACGCATAAGATCAGCATCTATCACTTGATCCCAAGTCGCATCTGCAGTAATTCTAGCTCGTATCCGTATGTCGATTAGGCTTCGAAGAGACTCTGGTGTCCACTCGAGCCGCAACGTATGTGTTTGACTTATTTTATTCTTGTCTGAGAACTCTAGGTCGTCCCACAAATCTGTGCGTAAGTAAACAATTGGATTCACCGGCGAACCGCTTTTGTTGGCATCGATCCGAACGTCGCGTGCTGCAAGTATCAGACCAATGAGGAGCCGGCTTCTTGTTTCATCCAATCCTGACAAACCTTGATCCAGCTCGTCAAAGTGGATCACATAGGGGCCAAGACCCTCGTTCTTGATGATATCAGCGCAGCACGCAAATAGTGATTGCGAAAGAGCGTTTAACTCGAGACCCAAATTTAGATCGCCTGGATTTCGATCGAGATTAATCCCTCCGATCTGATTGCCAAAAACAGACGGCTGCAAGCTGTACCCGCTAACCTTCAGCTTCCTGGGCCGCATGATCTCCTGAAGCTGAGGTGTAGAGCCTCCGTAGTTGTCAGATAGAAATGCTTTTAGAGCAATCACTTTATCATGTTCGGTTCGTTCAGCGTCGGCTGCAACCATCGTCGCAAGCTCTAGCGTGATGAGATATCTCCATGACGAGACATACGACTCCATCTCAGAAGCTCCGTGATCTATCCACTGCGAGTGAATATTCCACGGGTAGCCCCGAAGGGTCAGCGGCTTAGAACGAACATCGGTCCGGCCCTCGGTTAGGTGCCTAACGATCGCAGTTTTACCCGCACCCTTTCTTCCCAGCACAAGAAATGCGCTATTGTTCGAAATTTGAACTACAGCGTCCGTCTGCAGGAAATAATCAAGAACAGCATCATCCTCGGCGGCGACATCGCCGAAGGAGTTGATCGATGACAAGCTGACTACGCGTCGTTCAGGCATATCGTGAATCCTGTAATGTGAACCGTGCCGGCTTGCTTGCGACTCGAATGCGATTTTCGGCAGACGAACGAGTATAAGTTAAATCAAATACATCCCCGTAGCCAGACGCCTCACGCGTTGGTGTTGACCGTTGCAGGAACGGTGGGCCGTCAGGCACAGCCTGACCTACTTTGGTTGCGCCCCTTCGCAAGACCACGGATGACACGAACCGCATGGAGGAGGTAGCACCACCTCTTCTATCCGTGGTATCGGTGTCATCCGTGGTTAAATCGTTTAGTGGCGCGCCGGGGGCTGCCGCCCTCGGCTGAGGATCGAAGGTTAGTGGTTATGGCGTCGCCACGGGTTCGCCGACCTTTGGCCAGCCTTCTTCGCCCCACGTCAGTGGTCGCACTTGCAGGATGCGGTGGGCGTCGAGGTTCTGCATGTCGTACGTGTGGTGCACCATCCACTGTTTGCCGTCGGGCCATTCTTCGCTGGGGGGGCTGGTGAGGACGCCGTTGTGGCCGGGGCCGCGCCAGCGCTCGCTGCTTTCGAGGATGATCGTGCCGCCCCCTTCGAGCATCGGCTTGCCCTCGGCATCGACGTACGGGCCTAGCGCATCCTTGCTGCGGCCGACGGCGACGCGGTAGGTGCTGTCGGCGCCGTCGCAGCACGAGTCCCACGACACGAACAGGTAGTAGTAACCGTCGTTGAAGAGCACGTACGGCGCCTCGATGACGCGGTTCGGCGCGTCGGGCCGCGCGGCGACCGCTTGGATCTCGGCGCCCTCTTTGAACTTGCCCGTGGCGGGATCGACCTCGGCCGCCTTGAGGCCGGTCCAGTACGAGCCCCAGTAGAGGAGCCAGCGGCCGTCTTCATCGACGAGCAGCGCGGGGTCGATCGCGTTGAAGTTGGTCGTCTCGGGGCTCGACGCGACCACCAGGCCGCGGTCGTCCCACTTGTAGTCGGGGCTCTCGGGGTCGAGCGACTTGTTCACAGCCAAGCCGATGACCGACTTCTGGCTGCCGAAGGTCGAGACGCTGTAGTAGAGGTAGTAGAGTCCGTCGTGGTAGCTGAGGTCGGGCGCCCAGATGCCGTCGGTCCCCGGGATCGCGCGGCGGGCCCAACGCGGGACGGCGCGATCGAAGACGCGGCCGTAGGGTTCCCACGACTTGAGGTCGGTGCTGCGGAGCAGCTTCACGCCGCGGCCGGTAGCGGCGACGTAGTAGGTGGTGTTGCCGTCGTCATCGGTGACCGCGACCCCCGTCGGGTCGGCGGCGCCGTTGAGTAGGCCCTGACGCGGATCGGCTTCCGCGGCGTGGGTCGTCGCGGCGAAGCAGGCAAGAATGGTGATTGAAACGAGCGGGGGACGTCGCAAGGAGTGAGTCATTGGTTGTAGGGCGGGTGTCGTTCGCCGAAATGAGAGTGGGTTGGAAGTGCTACGACAGTTTACCACGGAAAGGAGGCTCCGTGGCGAGTCGAGGCAGGGCCCGAAAATGACGCCAACAAAGAAGAAGGTTTGAACCACGAAGGGCACAAAGGGCACGAAGAAGGAGTGAGCCCGGTGGGAAACAGGATTATGCAACGGCTAGCAGCGGGTAGTCGGCTCGTTGGTTTCATGCAAGAAGCGTTAGCGCCTTAGGTCCCCCTCCTTCTTCAGAGGGA